GACAGGTGTTGAAGAAGTGTTCATTTATGGCGCTTGTAATTTAACGAGTGCCTCATGTTTTCAGCCATGCTGCAATTAATGATATCTAACACGTTTTCAAAGGACAGACGTAGATAGAACGTCATATGTATCTAGCTCCGCACGAGCATGTGAACTGATATGTGCACAACGAATTGGCCTTATGTAGGAGTTTGTCACTCACAGTGGGCGACTAGAGATTATCATTGCATGAAGTCTTCTTTAAGGAACTAGAGATTCTCCTGTCAAGGATATCTACTGCTAAGTTTTCTCTGAAGTCCAGCCGGATTCAAACACAGTCTTATTTTTGGTATTGAAGTACATTCATCTCTTTTTGTATTGAGTGTCATGTTCTCATCCACGAAGTGTGCCGGGTATTAATTTTGAGCCACGATATTTTTGAGAAATAGGAGCTCTTCTTCTATAAACAGTCGATACTGCAAATTTTTTCTAATGAAGTAGACCAGTGAAATGATGAGAGCTGTTTTTTTAGGCATACAAGTATCATACCATATAAGTTTGTCAAATGTAATGATGATGCTAAATGACTAGGCTACATCGACTCGTCGCTTAAAGAATAGGGAGTGAAGTAGTAGAACGTGTTGACTACCACTTCACATATTTGGGGAATTGCATCAGTTATAACGGGCTGATCGCAGACGAAATCTCAGCAGGGATACAAAAAGCTCGTGTGGCCAACCTGCATCATCTCTGGTGTAGACGTGATATTCTTTTGGCTATCGGACAAAGGACGTCGGCAGTCACTTCGCCGCGTCTTACTTTATGATCGTGACACATGATGGCTATTGAGAGTGGAAGACATGAAAAGCCTGGCTAGCTGTCTTTGATCATAGATGTCTGTGTTCTATCTCCCGTTTTAGAGTGATCTACTAGGGTGGGTGAGTAATGCTGAGATTGGGCGTCGAGTGTTAGGTAAGGACGGAAAATCTATCGATGGGATACGTTGTGAAGCTACATCGACCGAGATAGCTACGCATGCGTAACAAATATTCTGGCTGTCTCCTTCCTTGTCGGACGATGTCAGCTGACATAGGAAGGATCAGGTTGGAAAAGAACTAGTGGTGGTCAAACGAAAACATTGAACCACTCCAGAAAATGTACAAGAGTTAGTTCAAGCCAGCCATGTAGGGAGGCGTAGACTAGCAGGTTGGTTGATGCTGGATGTATCTAGAACGCACTTTCAGATGGCCGTGTTATGTCACTGTGATGATGTAACAGTACTGCTGGTTTGTGTGTTCGATGCTAATACTGATTACTTCTGACCCGTAGAGCCTGTCAAAAGAAAGGCGGACTGGTGCATGCCGGTGAGAACATTTCGGTTTTTACTAATGCAAATTACACTATTTACAAATATTAAGTACCTTGAAAAGTAAATCTTACAAATATCCAATTATATTGGTGGTATAACGGCGGATTTCTACTTTAATATAATGAATATCTCGCCCCGGATCAATGGCTCGATCCCTTCATTCTTTTCTAAGCTTGTTTCAGTTGGTTTTAACCGTTTCGCATCAGTCAATCAACTTTACTTTGAAAATTATTCGCTCTTTCAGAACATGGCATCTCCCTAGAACTTCAGAAACTCTGTTTCTTCAGAACTGGAACAAAGCACATTCCAAGCTAACAAATGGTTTAGTTCAGAGTGCTTATAGTCCAAAGGTTCTCCACTGTATAGACTTGCAGTTGAGTACTGCTCCACGTCAGATAAAAGAACAATTACTCGCCGATAACATTGCCGGTTAGTTGTTCCATAATATCGCGAATTGACACGAGTTGGGACTCATGAACCATAGGATCAGCTCCTCAGTGGTTGAAAGGCCTATACACCTTGTAACCGACAGATCCTAGGCTTTGACCCCTGCGCGGCGGGGAGGGGGGAGTGCGTGCGAATTCCCCCCTCAAAAAGGTTGATGAAACACCTATCTAATATTCTCCGGTTACCCAACGTTGTCTCGCGATCAAACCTGTAAAATTCACTACAGATTGTTATGTTGCTGCTGCTGAGTGGTTAATAGTAGTTTTCCCCGTCGCCAAATTATTGTTATGTACTGGTCGAGAATTTAATAGTCCTGACGCAAGAAGGCGGAAAACAGAAGACCACTAGGTTTGCGATGATACTTCTATTTTCCAAACACAATTAGAATGCAAAAGTGGTATCACACCAAAGTAGTCACACAAGATTGTGAGAGCGAAATATATATATGACCGTCCAGACAAGTGTGTGAACAAATCAATAGACAGTCTTAACATGAATGGCTAATTATAATGAAGTATCGATCCATATATGCATAGCAAAATATAGCAGACATGTCAACAACCACACATATACTATGGATATCTGTCACCAAGCAACGGACTGTCAACAAACACTCATATTATATTATATATAATATGAGGGAATATACATTGTTAAAGGAGACAGGTTCATCAAAGTGAAATGGTCACAGACTAAGCGAGCAAACAGAAAGAGAGACCACCATACACACACACACATATATACATATATGGATACATATCACAGATGTTTAGCTTTTTCATGTTCGAAAGGTTCCTCAGTGAATTTTTCTACCTCCTATCGGGAATAACGTGTTGAAATTCTATTCCATAAGTGGTTAATTCCAAACACGATGATATTGTTTAAATTTGACAATAAAGCTGAATAGTTTAATTGATACTTTAGCCGCTTTTTTGCCCTCTAATACGCACGTAAATTTTATTTTGTGCAGTTAACTAAAAGGAATTCTTGTTACCTAATCTTTATTTTTACTTTCATTAACACACATATATATATATGCCCGAGCAAAACAAAAATTAAGTAGTATGATTAATTTCTTCCGAATTTTTCAGGGTTTATTTTTAATGATTTCGGTTTTCATATTATATTTTGATAACTTGATTGTTTTTTTGCTTCCCTTACATTTTTGTGCACTTTATCATCGTTTATCGTATTATCCTTCTCTTTTCCCCTGGGAATTATATCGATTAGATCGACAGAAAAGTGCAATCACTGTGGAGGATGTATTACGTTCTGTGGGAAAAATCCGTAATTTAATTTACGATTGCCTCTATTAATTTCATGCATTCTAGCATAAATATTTGCACGCTATTTCTCATTGATTTTTGTGATTTGACAGTTTGGCATTGTTTCACTCACTTACTCAATCATTCACTCACTAAACATTGATTGATTACATTGCTCATCTTGTATGCGAGTGTGGTGATGTTCAGTGTGTGTGTGTGTGATTGCCTGCCTACCTGCTCTGTGTAAATCATATTTAACCATTGTTCTTTCTTCCGGTGAGAACTGTCGTATTCTTACGAATGGCATGATTTTCCATGAGTACTGAAATGTGGTGTCGATGGCACAGTTGTAGAATGCTCGCTAACTACTCCTCATTTGATCCTGGGGGTTCGATTCCTGGCCGACCCACTCCTTTACCCCGTTTACCCAGTAATAAGGCTGGTAAAGATGGAAACCTGGGCACTAGACTAGCAACCCCATCCCGTAGATAAATACCACCGCTATCGAAACCTCTAGCTTAAAGCCCTATGTTCCACTGGAAGCCTAACTGAATAAAATAAAATAACTGAAATGTGAAACCAACCAAGATCCGATCACTCAACAAGTATGTAGAAGAAAATGAAGGTGGGTCGGTCATACGTTGAGAAGGCCGTCGAATGACATCGCGTGCCGGACCACTGCTTGAGTAGAAGTCTGATGGGAAGCAATAAATGGGCGTGAGTCCTAGGATGACATATGGAGGAGATCGTATGGAGAGGAGGATATAAGGGGCCAGCTAAAGACGACCGCAGAAAATAGGACAAAGTGGAGATGTGCTGTTGAAGCTCCATGTTCCACTCGGAAACCAAGCGGACAATATATACGTCTCTTGCCAACTACGATATTTATTATACCCCAAGAAATTTGTCAGATTTTGACTATCAAATAATGATGGCCAAACTAAGTAAGGGAAGGCATGTGAAGTAATCTTCTCGAATACACATAGATTGGGCTTCTTCTTTAAGTGAATTCCAATGGTCCCAAGTTCAGATCTATTTGGTAGCCTATTATGTACTGCTGCTGAGTGAGTTATTAGAGTTCTCCCCGTCGCCAATTATGTTATGTACTCGTCGAGTAGTTAATAATAGTCATGACGCAGAAAGAGGGAAATCAGAAGACCACCAGGTTTACGATGATACTTGTATTTTCCAGACAAGCAAAATAAATGTCACACAAGAGTGTGACTGAAATGGTACGTAGTGTAAGAAACGTGGGAACAAGTAACAAGTATCAGTACAAAAGTATATATGAAAATGACTAATACACATGAACCAATAAATAGACAGTCTTAACATGATTGGTTGTAATGCCATGTGATAACAAGGTCATACATGTTTATTTAGTTAGTGAACAGACAAAAGCATATTGTCAGTTATAATGAAATATCGATCCATATACACATAGCAAAATATAACAGACTGCCAAAAACAAGATACACATCATATGGATGCATATCATAGCCAGACTTTTAATGGCAAAAATGAAGATTAGTCGTAAGATTATGTATGACATTAAGTGCTCTATGTTCCATATTTCTATAAAATTGAGAGATTTATCAAAGAGGATGTTTTTTGCGCAATCTTTCCCTCAAACATGTGTCAAAATGAATGTTTTTCTCTTCTTCTTAGTTTTCCCGTAAGAGAAATGTAATACAATTATTGTCATTTTCATCTTTGTATTAATAATTACCAGACATCATTAGGATAAGATGAGAGAGATTCTTCCACAGAGATCTTATTGATAGGTGGTGTGGCTTTATCTTTTTAGTAAAGACTGTGAAATGCCTCTTCCTTCTTTTTTTCAATCCTCAAAATGACTAGGCAATAAATTGTACTATAGTATAATCAGAAGTTGAGAATTTTGAGTAAACAATTGTTTTCGATAACTACTTCTCCCGCAGGCTCTTTACACAGTTATAAATAAATCCATGAATCGATTAGAATACAACAAATAGCCGCTAGCCAACAAAGGTAAATGAAATGAAATATCAAAGGATGTATTGGACTTCGTGTATAATGATGTTGAATAATAGTAAGTCAGTCAGTTGGTTAGTTAGCACTGTCAATTGAGTGTATGTATAAAATGTACAGTCATTCAGAATATAAGATAAAATGTGAATAGAGGACAACTGGGTGACACATACTAATGTATATGTAGTCAACACATGTTCTTGTCTGGCTTAGAAAAAGAGTAATGAAATCAATAAATAGTGCTACTTAATGTTATCTAGCTGACAGTGAACAGCGCATTAAAACAGATGAGTTATTATTAAAGAAGAAACCTGATCTATGTGTGCAAAAACAGCACATTCATCCTCGTCGACTGCGATGGTCTACTAGAAGGTCATGAGGGACATAATCGCCTCATATTTTCATGTTCTATTATGCCTTTCCTATTCCTTTTCACCTAGTTCTCTTTACTCCATTATTATCATCCTTATTATGTGTGTCAACCTTTGTAATTTACACCAAAGCTTATCATATCTGTAGTAGTTCATCACAATTCACAATCTAACCTATTTACTTCATCATTACACTTGTTACTTGTGAGCCCTCGCTTGAACTTACATTCAGTCTTCCCATTTGTTGGAATTTGTTTGTATGCATTTTGTGTGTATGATCATAGTTCTCTCACCCACTAAATACAACTCACCAAATCCTAATGAGACTTACATTCTGAAGTAATTTGGTGGTAGTCGTGTGGTGAGAGCTGGCTGCTAGCCAAATTGGTAGACAGTAATTAACGTCATTGTTTACGTCCTCAATATTTGTCGTGAGAAAAATATGAACAAAGACTGATTCAACAACCAACCACAGCAGACTTTGTGTAGGCGGATACAGTTAGCATATAGATAATCTGAACTTCAAGAAACAGCCACAATGAGATGAACGATTAACTTTCAGCAAGAAAGCAACCAATCAGAAGACGTAGCTTCTCTGCTAGCAATAACGCTGATAATAATATACTTAAAAATCTATAAATATCTGTTGATTTCCTTAATAAACGGTCTGTTGCCTGGTCCTAGTCTTCTATTGTTACAGTGGGATCGAGGAGATTCACTTTGTCCCATTGGGAACTCGTCAACTGAATGTACCTGCACTCACCATTGAGTCAATGATGACATTCTCTCCAAGACTCAAACCCATTACCTACTGCTTCAAACACGAAAGTTTTATCCACTAGACCACTTGGGTCACGAGAACCACGTCTTATGCAACGGGTATCAGTTATTATTTAGGACGATATACGCATTGTAGATTCCACTGCTAGTTTCACCATCTACCGAATTACTTCAAGCTGAATCCCCTAAACATCGTCGAAACATCCGCATAAGTGGCCTACATGTCAAAAGACGTCGAACACTTTAATCCAATCAATCAACGAGAAAGTTCAAATTGAATTAAATGAAACATATTCTGTTAACTATAAATGCATTAGTATATCACCCAATTGTCCATTCATATTTTATCTCATGTTCTGAATGACTGTACATTTCAGATGCATTCAAACTATTAAATTAACTAACGAACTACCACTCCATCTTATACGTGTACCCCAATACAATTTTTGATGCATATCTGTTGAGAGTCTGAGGAAGACGTTATCCAAAATAATTCTTCGCTCGAAAATTCCACCTTCAAATGATGTGGTCTAATATTGTGTTTCAAAAATATAATACTTATTACAAAAAAAGACGTAAACAGCGCAGCGACGTAAATTTTCTTTTCGATTATTCATTTTGCATAAGCTGCTGTACAATCGTATTCATATATATTTAAACAAAGAATTCATAAAACCAATCAGATACTGGTAGAATTTGTCCTGGAAAGGGTATTACATAATGTGCGAAATGTAATTCTAGAAGGGTGTGACCGATTGGAAATTAGAAAAAGTGGGCAGAAGTTGGCATGACGTGATAATTGTGAGAAAATGACTAATCAATACGATGGTGTAGAGTGGATAAAAGCTAGTGGAAAGACGATAAAGTTTTTTTACATAAAATCTGTATGAAAATGCATAATAATACATTAATAAAATGAAGCAAAATTATGGTAAGAGCGTTACTCTGACTACGGTAGGCAGATTGAACGTATGCAGTGCTTTTGAACTGAGATGTGTGGTTTCAGATCCCGAATAGCCAATGATTCGCTTATGCATAGATGGCGTATTCGAAGTCTTTCCAAGGGATTTCGAGGAACACTGTGAAGCAGTCGTGCGGGGATGCTCGATGTCTAGAAGTGACATTGTGTTCGAGGAAAGAGCTACTGGTATTCTTCTTTCTCCGGTTTTACGAGGTTGGAGAGTGTTCCACAATACGTTTACGGAATCGAGGTTGCTCACAGTCAACGTACTTTACTCCACATAAACAAGTAAACTGATGAATACCAAGCGAGGTCGCCAAAAGCGGTTTGACTGTATTAACTGTCTGCTGGGAAAATTAAGGTGGTTATTTTTAGGAATTTCTGCTTTAATATCACCTGTGAATTCTAGATTCACAAAACAGTCGCGATTTTCAGCAACGAAGGTTTTTCTGTCATATTTATGTCGATTAATCTGGGGGTTGGCAGGGGTTCCCCAGTAGTATTTCACGTAATAATTGTAATTCTTTGTCTATCATTTATTCTTTGAATCCTTGAAAATAATGTACGTACTAAGTTTTACTTTCGGATAAATGAGACAAAGCTCTGAAAGTCGATAAGCTGTCCACTTTATGTTGGTTTGTGGTGTATTAATCTTCGGGTGGTACAGTTTTGTCATCTACTATAAGTACTGCATCCAGGGATGGAAACGGCATGCTGTCTGATTCACATTCTAGGGTGAATTTTATCTTTAATTAGTCAGCCCTCTTCTAGATTACACCTCATGTGATACATATTTTAGTACAAATTCTATCAGTATTTGATCAGCCTTATGAATTTATGTGCGTCGTTGGCACATTGGTTAGGACTTTCGTCGACCATGCAAATGGTCCAGTGTTCAATCCGCTGCCGACGCACACCTAATATCTATGATCGGCCTGCAAAATTTGGGCCACCGATATCACATGCTGAAAATTTCATACCTGTACCGAAAATTCGGTGTGGAGTCAAGTTGTAATCAAAATCAAAAAACAAATAATTGAATTTTAGATTTTCCCGTTGATTAATTGGACCGAAGTGCTCGGTCTCAGGTTGACATGTCGACTCCATCTTGTACAGATGCTTCGACGATGTCTGGGCATTTAATCAGTATTGAATTGGTGGATGGTGACTAGCAGTGGAACCCAGGGTAACGCGCATTTCGTCCTATTTGGGACTCGTCCTCCAGCTGGATGTACCTGCATTTCTCAGTGAGTAATCAAAAATTCAATTAAATTAATATGACCCGTTGCACAAGAGACAGTGGCTCTCGTGGATAACGCTTTGGTGTTCGAAACTATGGGTACTGGGTTCGAGCCTCGGTGGGAACATTTTCGCTCACTGAGAAATGCAGGTACATCCAACTAGCTGACGAGTCCCAAATAGGACGAAATGTGCGTTATCCTGGATTCCACTGCTAGTCACCATCCACTAATTAAAGCCTTATGAATTGTTTTTTCAAATGCATATGAATACGATTATACAGCAGCTTATGGAAAATGAATCATCGAAAAGAAAATTTATTTCGCTGCGCTGTTTACGTCTTGTTTTTTTTTCTTCTTATGGCTCAATATGCGCGAATATTTCGTTGTTTTAATCCTTATACGTTCAAGGATTCAATAAATTAATTATATGTACATATTTTCTCTAGATTTCATTGGTTCATAATTCATAATGGCATGCTAAAATAAAGAATCTCGATACATCACCATCATTGTGTTGTGTGTGTGTGTGTGTTTGTGTGTAATGATCTCTATGGTATGTGAATTTCTGCTAAATTCTGTGCACAAATTTCTCTGCAATTCTTGCTTGTTTGTTTATTTCATGGTGTATGCATCCATCATTGTGCACAGAATCTCCGCCTAATCATTCTTATATTAACGGTAATTATAATAATAATAATATTAAATAAGGCATTGAGAAGACAAATTTCGCGAGATGATATCATCATTTCGTAGTTTCCTTACAATGGCTTTACAACTACCATGGTTAACAATAATAAAATAAAGATCATGACAATTATTCAGTTAATTAAAAAACACAAAAGTACATACTACTAATGACCAAGCATATTTTCAAATAGGTCATGTAGTCAGTTCATGGTAGGCGAAAACTGAAGTCTATTGATTTTTGTACACATAGTTTAGGCTGTATGTGATTAATGCTACAAAGTGCTTCCATCATCACCTTCAATAACCAACCTTGAAATGGAGTTATGTGATGAAATAATTGTGAAACAGTCATTAATATTGATTTTGTGACCTGACACCTTCTGTACCAAAGAAAGCTATCTTTATTAACCTACCATTCAAAGGCGACCAGATTATGCAGTTGACAGTTAACTCGAAGACTTCCGTTAGCCATGAAACGTACATTCTACGCCGCATCTCTTGTTCTCATTTGCCGAACATTTTCGATCCCTGTACCTACCTACGATTAAAGGACGAAATTCTGTGGACTCTACTTCAAACTGTGTCTACAAGTTCACCTGCATCTGTGGTGACACCTATATAGAACCTATAGAATCAACAGAATGTCCCAATGTCGTCGAAAAGAACATGTTTCGAAATGGGTTCTAAAGCATACAGAATGTCCCAATGCAATTAATCTGAATAGAAATCCAGCATCATCCATTGCAAAACACTTACAAATCTCAGATCACAAAATCGATATTAGCTGACTGTTTCACAATTATTTCATCACATAACTCCATTTCAAGGTTGGTTATTGAAAGTGTTGATGAAAGCACTTTGTAGCATTAATCACATACAGCCTAAACTATGTGTACAAAAATCAATAGACTTCAGTTTTCGCCTACCATGAACTGACTACATGACCTATTTGAAAATATGCTTGGTCAGTAGTAGTATGTACTTTTGTGTTTTTTAATTAAACTGAGTAATTGTCATGAGCTTTATTTTATTATTATTAACAATGGTAGTTGTAAAGCCATTGTAAAAAAACTACGAAATGATCATATCATCTCGCGAAATTTGTCTTCTTAATGCCTTATTTAAATTTATCAAACGGACTGATTGTTTTAATAATGATAGTAATAATAATAATAAAGCTGGCACAATGTTTTATGCTGATTGCACTAATTCACTCTACGTGTCTAATCCGTATAATAGAAATGCTTAAGTTTATATGATATGTTTGTTCCTTTTTTTGTTAATTCATGTTACGCTTATAGATGAAAATGAACTGCGTACAGCTGATGATACCAAAATTTTACAAGTTATTGAAGCTTATTGTGCTAGTTCATGGACACAGCATAGTTGTCGAACGTGTAAGTGATAAATTACTGTTTTTGTTGTAATAATCATAAAGTTTTTTTTGTATCTTCCAATGAATGAAAAGGACAAAACGATATTGTTCTGTTTTACTGACATTACGCTATCTAATACTGCTGCTAATAGCTGTATCATCAGTCTCCCCAATAATCGCTGACCTTTTCATGTGAATAGATTCAAAGATAACATCTTTTTTCAAGCAAACTCACTTCTAAAATATGGTTAAGATATATGTAGATGATACTTTTATAGTACTAAAACGAGATCTACACACAGTTCATTCCTGGAGAAAATAAACTGTGTATCTTCCAGAATCCAGTTTACTTCGGAAACAGAATCAGACGTCGGTGGAATACCATTTCTAAACTGCCTAGTTAAGAGGGGGGGGAGGGGGAAACGAACATTTTAGTGTATCTATACTGAGGAAGAAAACCCACTCCAATAAATATTTAGACTTCAATTCATCACACCGCATCAGCGCAAAGATTTCAGTTGTTTCAAGTCTTCTTAGACGAACGAGCACACTCTCTGATAACGGATGAGAAAGAAAAAGAAGAAGAAATATCAAACATTACTGAAACTCTCAAGCAAAACAACTACCCAAGGAACTTCATCAACAAAATCAACACTGACATTAAGTATGGTCAGAAACGCATTCCGAAAACATGGACCTCAACAGTCGTCATTCCATATAGAGCAGAGACGTCAGACGATATCAGAAGAGTACTCAATCAGCTCGACATTAGAGTTTTCTTCAAAACATCAGATACACTTCAAAGCAGCCTTGTCCATATAAAAGACCAGACCCCTAAAGATTCTCTATCTAATTGTGTCTATAAAATAAAATGCTTAGAATGTGATGCGATCCACATTGGACAAACATCTCGAGAAATCAAGGTAATCAGAAGAAATGAACACCGTAGAGCATCTATTCGACCACCGAGAAATCCGATTGAAATAGAAAAGCTTGAGAAATCATCAACCAGAGGTCTACACGCTATAGAATCAGTCCACAAAATTGATTTTGACAATATTGAAATAATTCAGAAAAACTTCAGGAATCATAAAGAACTTACTTACTTACTTTACATTACTTCGGCTATCTCCTACGGGAGGATGAGCCGGCTTCATGAACGTCTCGAATCATCGCTGCCCAGGCGCGGCGATCTGAAGCAAGGTTTTGCGATAGGGATATCCAATTCTTGTTCCACATACGGAGTCCGTAGACGGTTTGTAGCCCCAGGCACTCCATATCTGCCTTGACTGTACCAAGCCATGTCTTCAGCTGTCCGCCCCTGCGACATCGCCAAGATGGTAATGGCGAGGGATTTAGAACTGATTTGACCAGATCGTCATCTGGTCGGCGCAGAACATGGCCAAACCACCGAAGGCGGCGTTGTTGGACCAGTACTGGAATTTGGTTGATGTTGTAGCAACGACGACGCACTTCTTCGTTGGAGAGTTTGTCCTGCCAACGAACATGCAGAATGTACCTGAGACACCAATGGTCTACTACCTCGAGTCTGCGTAAATCTTCCGCGCGAAGAGGCCAGGTTTCACAGCCATACAGGAGAACGGGTCGTATGGAAGCTTGGTAGACCCGAATTTTAGTCCTGAGACTGATTTCTCTCTTGCTCCATAGAACGCTCCTCAGCTGTAGAAACGCATTCCGGGCGTTGGAGATTCGCGCATTCACTTCGTTTTTCGCTTGGCCGTTGGGGAGCATTATGGATCCCAGATATCTGAAGGATGGCACAATTTCAATAGGTGCTCCATTTAGGGATAAGATTTCATCATTGCTGGTGGATGTGTTCGAAAACATTTTGGTTTTGGAAGTGTTAATTTTCAAACCGATAGTAGGCGCGAGGTGGTTTATCTGGTCGAGCGCCTGTTGCATATCGGGGAAGTTTTCAGCTAACAGCACGACGTCGTCGGCGAATTCGAGGTCGGTTATGTGAATATCGGGCGAAAGTTGGACGCCGTGGTGCTCGGTTAGGGCGTGCCGCAAAATCCAATCAATTGTGAAATTGAACAGGATGGGGGATGCTGGACAACCTTGCCGGACACCGCTGGTTACCTCAAAAGTGCGGGACTCTTCACCGTTCACTCGGACTCGAGCTTTGGTGTTGGAGTAGTATGACCTGAGCAGGTTGATTAGCTTGGTCGGAACTCCGTCGAGCTCCATTAGATACCAGAGTGCTCCTCGATCAACTGAGTCGAATGCCGCTTGGAAGTCGATGAAGCAAGCAACCGTCGGCTGTTGGAATTTGTCCCTGTGTTCCAAAATTCTTCGCAGTGTGAATAATTGATCAACACAGCCTCTTCCAGGTCGAAATCCGGCTTGATTTGGCCTTGTTCGCACGTGGCGTTCGGCCGCGAAGCGGTTCAGGAGAATGGAAACAAAAACCTTAGCAGCGATATCAATCAGACTTATGCCTCGGTAGTTCTCGCATATTGACCTGTCTCCCTTTTTGTGGAACGGTAGCAGAACTGAGGTGCTCCAATCGGAAGGAATGGTTTCGGACTCCCAAATTGAGCAGAACAGCGAGTGCAGTGCATCGATTAGCGCTGGAGTGCAGGCCTTGTATATTTCTGGGGTAGACCATCTTCGCCCGGAGCTTTTTTGTTTCTGAGTCTGTTAATTGTTTTAGCTATTTCGGTTGGAGTGGGTGGATCGCAGTCAACTACGTAGGGTGTTGGTAAGTGTCGTATCGGTCGATGAGACGGTTGACCAGCGTCGCGATTGAGTAGCTGCTTGAAGTGTTCGGCCCATCGTTCCATCTTACCATTGGTGTCCGAAATAATTTCTCCTGAT